ATAGAGCTCAAACAAGTCAGTGAAAAAAGGATATTTGTCTCAATAAATGATGGGGTGAAATTGTGTATCCACATATAAAAAAAATCAAGATTTTATATGTACTCTAATATATACTCTGATCAACTCAAATGATTCATGGATCTAAGCACTAAGAAGCAGCTAAAAAACCTTTCTAAAGAGAGATGGGAGGAAATCCATGTCATCATGTATTATTTAAAGATTTCTTAGATATGACACCAAAATCATAAGCCATAATGGAAGAAATTGCTACATTGGATTCAATCAAAATTTATCTGTTCCTTTGTAGACACTCTTAGGAGTATTAGAGGCGAATCCCAGCCAGAAAGGCAATAATTCTAAAACATATATTTGTTAAATTATTATTGCTGCCAAACATAATGAAGTCTGAAAAGAAGAAAAAAAAACAGAAAATTGAAGATAAAATATGTGGGGCTGGAGAGATGGCTAAGTGGTTAAGAGCACTGGCTGCTCTTGCAGAGGACTGGGTTTGATTCCCAGCACACCTATGATAGCTAACAACTGTCTATAACTCCAGTTCCAGGGGAATCCAATGCCCTCTTCTGACCTCCATGGGTACTGCAAAACACGACAGGCATATACTTACATGCAGGCAATACACTCACACACATAAAAATAAAATATTTTTTTAAGTAAGAAAACGTGATGAGATGAAGGAGCTTGTGCCAAGGGCTTGGTGACTCCCCTAATTCAGTTGGGTTGGCAGCTGTTCTCCAACCAATGTCTGGGCACCCTGCATCCCTTCCAGCTCTTCCTCCCTCCCTCCCTCCCTCCCTCCCTCCCGATAGTCCAGTAGTTACTATGCTCCTGCAGGTGGGAACCTGGGAAGAGACATGAGTGACCAAGGTTGGCTGCACCTGCTCGGGAGCAAGGAGTGGCAGGAGCTGGCCTCGCTCCCAATGAGCAGCACTGCGGTGACTGTATCATCCAGCCTGTCACCTCCATCCCACACACTGGAGAGGAAGGTCCCAGTAGGGAGATTGTCATCTCTTAGGTCCTCCCCTTGAGCAGCCCCACAGTGGGGAAGGAGGGATGGATTTTCTCATCCCCGGCTGGGCACAGCACATCAGCCCAGAAGCTGGTGGCTTTCAGGAGGGGAGACCCCCACAGCTGGTGGCTCTGGGTACTTGTGACAGTCCATCTTTGCCTGGGTGACTGTTCCTGTACCCTCAGGAATATGATATAAAGTAGCAAATAAAAACACCCTGACAGGCTGAGACAAAGAACAGAAGAGAGAAAATAGGTTCTGTTTTAATATCTCTTTAAGGCACCACTTCCACAGAAGAGAGAAAATATTTTCTATTTTAATATCTTTTTAAGAGCCTGTTTCCCAGTTTTAAAAAATTTAAATGAACCCCAGATTTTAATTTTCCTCTTGGTCCCTGAAATGATATAGTTGATCCTGATGTCGTTAAATGAATTCTTGAGACAAACCGGGATGTTTCTTAATAGTCACATTTCAGAGTCCTGCCTGTTCAGGAGCAAGTCTGTGAGAGCCGGAGAGGGTTAGATGCCTTCAGGAACCCACAGGGCTCCTCCTGCTCAGTAATTATTCCTGCCTTGCCCCAGGTCGTCATCACTGCCCCTTCTTTATGACCTCTAACCCTAGAGGCCATGCAGCTGACCAAGGAAGACCAACGTGGATCCTCGGCAGCTCTTGAGAGACCCACAGCGTCCACACCCTGCGTGCGCTGAGCCTCTAGAGGATGCGTATTTATTGGAGCCCCTGCACACAGACAAGACTGGGCAATCCTGAGAATTTCATTATAGGACCAGTCCTGAGTCAGAGACTGGCTGCTGTGACCATATAAGGTTCCAGCTGCTCTGCACAGATGTGGGAGGAGCTTGCAGCTGCAAATGGGGGTGAGGCAGGGAGGGGGCTGAGGCTCAGCCCATGTATCGCTGCTTTTCCTGTGTCCTCTCTTACAGCTTCTGTGTCCTGACCCATCTCTCCTCTCAGAACTACTTCTAGGGAGAAACCAACATAGGAAGCCAAGCATCATGCTTGAAGAACTCTGTCTAGTAATGTAAAGGTCAACCATTCTAAAACAGAGTGAACTTGTGCCCTTGCCCAGGTGTCAGCTAGTGGCTGTTGTGGTAACTGGCAGCAGTTAGGTGCAGAATGGATCCTGAATCTGCCCCAGTCCAGAGAGGCTGGGAGCATGAGGGAGCTGCCCTGCACACTGAGAGGCAGATCCCACCACACAGAGCATTGTTTCTAGAGATGTGGGGTCCAAAGGAATGAGTCTACACTAATGAGATGGAGACTTTCATAAAAAACTTGGATTTAGCGGGACATGGTGGTGCAGGCCTGTAGTCCCAGCACTTGGGAGGCAGAGGCAGGCGGATCTCTGTGAGTTCAAGGCCAGCCTGGTCTACATAGTGAGTTCCAGGACAGCTGGAGCTACGGGAGACCCTGCTTCAAAAAGACAAAAAACAAAACAAAACAAAAAAAACAAAACTTGGATTGTAGGGCAGTTAAGAGCACTGGATGCTCTTACAGAAGACCTGGGTTCGAATCCCAGTACTCACATGGCAACTAACAACTGTCTGTAACTTCATTTCTGGGGGACCTGATGTCCTCTTCTGTCTTCCACAGGCACTGCAGGACATGGGTGCATTTACACACATGCAAGCAATACATTCATACACATAAAATAAAAATAATTAAAAAAAAACTTGGATTGCTTGCTTTTTTCAAAACGCTTGTAACTGTACATCCAAACACACACACACACACACACACACACACACACTCACACACACACACACACACGTGCACAAACACACACACACTTTAAAGGGATTATAAATTCTTCCAGAATGAAGCTCTGTTGTTTTCAGTCACACTCTGTCCTAGTTTGCTTTCTATTGCTGTGATAAAACACTCTGACCAAAACTACCTTGGGGAGGAAAGGGTTTATCTGACGCACATGTCCTGATCACAGTTCATCCTTGAGGGAAGCCAGGGCAGGAAGTCAAGACCTCCACAAAGTCCTTCCCTTCCCAGTGCATAACATGCTTCTGAGGCTGGACGCTGGAGTTGCCCCATTGTGCCTCTTGGACCTCCTGTGGTGGGTGTGGACTGGCTCTCTGGAACTGTAGGTCATGCCTCACTCAGAGCAGGAACAGGATCTCAGAAGAGAGTCTTGATTTGGGACTCTGGTTGAGGGTCTCTCTAAGCGAAGAAAATAATTCAAGCACAAATGTTGACAAGGAGGACTGTGGGTCCCTAGACAAAACAAAAAGCAGGAATAGGAACTTGTGGGGTGGAGGAGGACTTGATAGGGCTGAGAGGGAGACAGTGAGGGGCAGGGTCCCAGAATGCAATGTGTGTGTGTGTGCATTGCCAAAGAACAGGTGTGATCAGCAAAATGGAGTGAGACCAACACTGCTGTCCTTGTATGAAGGACCCTCTGTGTGCCATTGCCAGCCTCCCCCTCCCCAGAAGAGATTGAGAGACAGTCTCCACAGGCCATTGGGGCTCCCCTTGGGGATGCCCCCTTCCTTACTGAGGTGTTAACCTCTTTAGGAATTCTTTTCAGGGCCAGTTTTCTTGACCTGTTTATCCACTAACTGAATGACAGGACATCTCCATACTATCTAGAAAACCAAAGCTCAGAATTAAGAACTTGAAGCTGCCCATGGCCACAGTGTCCAGGTTCTAAATTTGAGGTTTTAGAGCTCTGGAGAAGCAGCTGGGGCACACTGTCAGAGGCATAATATGGTCAGGGGCTGCCACTGAGGTGTTATCCTAGAGCCAGAGATTAGTCCAAGTCTGGCTGTTGGAGGAGGGTTGGTGTCTCGGCACTCAGACACTGAGCTGCCTCAGTAGGCACCTGAGCTGAGAGTCACCACCTCACCCTGGGCAGTAGGAATCTCTCACCCTGGGTGGTAGGTCTCCACATCTTCACCAGCGTGGAGCAGGTGGAACTGGAGATTATCCACTGCCTCAGAGTTAATGGTGGTCAGGGCTCGGATTTGAACCCAGGCAGTTAGGCCTGCCGGGTAGGCACTGAGCCCCAGCACCGCCTAGACCGTGAGCCCTGACGCTTTCTGGGATGTTCCCATTGTTGGGAGTGTCTGCACGGTCCTGTCGATCCGCATCCTTCCCTGCATACTGGGAAGACAAGGATGGTTCCCAAATGGATTTTCAGCTCTCCTTAAAGTTTACTTGTGAGGAACTCTTTTCATTGTTACATAGTTCTCAAGGGTTTCTTGAGTCCCTCCCCTGTCTTTTTGTCTCTTGTGTATGTGTGATGCATGTGAGCGTGTATGTGCCTGTGTGCATTCGTGTCTGTGAGTGAAGGCCTGGGTGTGTCATACTGTGCACAGAGAGGTCAGGGGACAACCTCTGTGTCAGTCCTCTCTTCCACTTGACTGGAGACAGAGTCTCTGTTGTTTTGCTGTCCTGTTTACAGGCTAACTGGCTGCAAAGCTCTCAGGGACCAAGGCCCCCCACCCCAGTCTCCATCTCTCCTTAGCGACACTGGGGATATAGGCTTATGTTGTTTCCTCTGGCTTTACATGGGAGGATTCAAACTTGGGTCTTCACACTTGCACAGCAAGCATTTTACCCTCTGAGTGGTTTCCCCAGCCTTGATTTGGTTTTCTTTTCCTTTACTATCAGATCATTCTTCCTTGGTCCTCAGAGGACAGAGGGAAGCTAAGCTCTAGAGTGTACCACTCCTTCAACAGGCCAAGGCCTGCCTCACCTGGGGATGCCTTCAGAGGGCTAGCTAAATGCTTCAGGTTAGACTTTTCCCGTAAGGCAGGGTGCAGTATGTTGCTAATGAAAACAACGTCTAATTTGGTGATGAAAGACACATAGAGTGCACATTTCCCGATTTATTTTCAGAAGCTGTGTTATGCAATTAACATTCGTGTGCATTAGAATGAAACCTCCTTCAATGAGTCCACTGTCTAAGCGTCTTACCCAGGGTCCTTTTTCTGGTCTCCAGTTTTACGGGAGCCCTATACAGTCCGTGTGGAGGACCAGAAAACCATGAGAGGCAATGTCGCAGTCTTCAAGTGCATTATCCCCTCCTCGGTGGAGGCGTACATCACTGTCATCTCGTGGGAGAAGGATACTATCTCTCTTGTCTCAGGTAAGCTGAGCATCATGGGGGAAAGGCCTGGCTGAGTGTCGCTGGGGAAGGGCCCGGCGCTGCCCTCCACAAAGGTTATTTCACGGGTGGAATCTGGCCTCAGTTTCTGTGTTTGACATAATTAAGAATTAGCATGTCTGGGATGATTCTGCATTATAAATTAGCCTGATGTCATGCACGGGTAGGGCGCCATATATGCTAATATTCAGTGGTTTGGTTCCCATTATGTTTGGAGAATTGACTGATGGATGGAAATTAGTTACTTGTGCTGTATGTATAGCCCTGACGTCTATGGGAAAATTATGATTTTATTTCTGCTCTTAAAAACAAACAAGTTGATTCCGTGTCTCTGAGATACTTAAGCAATACAAGTTCGACTGTTTGAAACTGGGACATGGAAAACAGGGTGTGGTTTCTGTTCTGCTGGTCCCTTCAGATGCGCTGGGGTTTATGTTGTGTTCCTGACCTTGGACTCACCATTTCTATTAAGGATGTATACTTAAACCAGAAATATATGTGTGTATGGAATAACTTCTAGGCCTATATAGGGTGTTAGAAAACTACAAACTGACTCAGTCTGCAAGAGATTGCAATTTATCCATCTCTTGCAGCATTAAAGCTGGCTTTTCACCCTGTGTTCTTGACCTGGAAAGCAAAGCCTCCTGGACACTGAGGTTTCGTGTCTTATACCTCTTTTGACAGTGACTCCTGGCATCCTTAAAAATGTGTTCTTGCCTGTGGCTTGTACACTTGTCTAGACACAGGTTCCTAGCCTGATATCAGGAATGGCCTCAATCTTGTGAAGTGGACCTCAAAACCAATTAGAAAGTGGTTGGATACTCCCATAACATCCGTGCCACAATTGCCCCAGTGGACTATCTTGCCAGACCAGTTGTTGTTGTGGCTGGCAGGATTCGCAGCTGGTCTAGATGGTGATCACCCCTCTCTCCCAGTAGCAGGCATAGCATCTTCTACACAATGAAAGCTACTCAGACGAAGTTTGCCTGGGAATGAATTATGATGCGTTCACAGTGTGTTCAGATGCACATGAAAACAGTTGATTTTCTCTCTCGGTAGTCTTCCTGCAGTGGGGCAAGAACCTGCAGGAATATATGTACACACACACACACACGCACACACGCACACACACACACACACACACACTCTTCAATGTATTTTTCACTTGTAACAACCCCTCAGTTCATGGAGACCAGCTGTAACCCAGCCTTCAAGGAGACACGTGGTTTTGTTTCTAGCTTCCTGACAGATAATGATCTGCCTGAGATCTGATATCACTATAAAGGATAAAAGGAGCCATTGAAAAGAACCACATGAAAATCCAGATCCACTGTCATGACAGTACATTGAAGGGATGTAGGCTATAACCAAAGCTTTTTAAGTTGTTTTCTAAATTTATATTGTCTTTTTTGTTTGTTTTCAGTCCTGGGGAAGGAATTTAGGGACTCACACATGCTATATTTGGACCCACTTCCCTGGTCCTGGATCTTCAGGGCATCCCAGGCTGCAAGGTGGAAAATCTGTCCCAGGAGGCGTTCCTCCCTGGAGTAGATCAGTGGGTTGAGTAGCAGGTTCTCTCCACCAAGAGAAGGGTGATCAGATAAATCAGGCATGGTAGGGAACTGGCATCGACTTCCATAGCGGTGAGCTCAGAGAGCTGATGGCGTTCTGGATCAGCTTCCAGAAGACAGGAGCCCTGGAGACCAGGAGGGACCCAAAGACAGCATGAGGCCACCACTAAGATGCCCACTGAGGATCCTGGCAAGTTGTCTGCCTGAGAGGGGCAGCCTGGCTTCCAGGGTGATGCTAGGGAGCTCATTCTTAAGGTCCTGGGCTGCTTGGGGATGGACAGAGCAGCCAAAGTCATCTCTGAGTACATGGGCAGCTGAACCCTGAACTTCCTGGGGTCCCCCATCTCTACCTCCTATTTTTCCCCCAGGAGTGGTGGGATCACAGATATATACTACCACATCCAGCTTTGTGTGGGTTCTGGGGATCTGAACTCAGGACCTCATACTTTCCGGTCAGTTCTTTACTGAGCCATCTCCCCAACCCCTCTAAATTGTTTTTCAGTAAAAGAAAAATTGAAATGCTGGTGTATCCATGAATGAGGTAATGAAATGACACTGTCACACAGCTCACTGGTGTCACCTTTCATTTTGACTGAGAAAGCAGCCCCAAAGCACAAATTCTTGTCTGCTGGACTGGAATGTAGGTATCCTGATGCTTACTGCGTGTTGGGCTGAACACCACCTTCTCTCAAGGTGGCCTGGGGAGTTCTCAGGAAAGAAATCGTGTTTCCCCTTCCTCATCCAGCTTATGGGGTTCCCAGTTAGGATGTGACTGAGTTAATGTCTCTTGAATTATCTGTAGAGAATACTTGGCAGCCTATAAGCAGGAATCTTGTAATTGCCCCCAAGGAAGGAAGGGTCAGTTGTGGTCTGATGGCCAATGGCTGTGGTCTGGGCATCTCCAGCCCTGCTTACTGCACCTTTGCCATCAGATTCAGCTGCAGACCATAGTGGGGGATTCTGTGTGTGCAGGTCAGGTGCGCACTGCTCTGACATTCTCATAAACATGATGGACACGCTGCCTTCTTACCAAAGAAAAGGAGCTAGGAGGAATGAGAGCCTTGGGACTGCCTTCCCGGATCACAGGGAGAACCTGGGGGCTGCCTGTGTGGGTCACTCGGAGAGCCATGGGGACTACCTGTGTGGGTCACGGGACGGCCATGGAACTGCCTGCCAACCTTAGGTGTCCTTTGTCTCTCCTCTGGTCCTGGGCACCAGTAAGTCTCTAGACTATCAGAGTATCAATGTGGCCCCGTGAAAGTGCCAGGTTTGGCTAGTGGAGAGCGTGGAGCCAATGCTGCTGAGACCCCGAGGTGTCACTGTACAGAACGCTGACTCCTCCCTTCCTCGTGGGTTTTGTTCGCGGTCCCATGCAGCATTGCTTCCCAGTTAAGGAGGCGTTTCTGTTTCTGTTGATGAAGTTGTGAGAGTCCCCGGGGACCCAGCCACATTAACACCAAAGATACAGCCAGGGGGCACAGACCTGGAAAACAGAAAAGGCGGGAAGTGCCAGGTTTGGCTAGTGGAGAGCGTGGAGCCAATGCTGCTGAGACCCCCAGATGTCACTGTACAGAACGGTGACTCCTCCCTTCCTCGTGGGTTTTGTTCGCGGTCCCATGGAGCATTGCTTCCCAGTTAAGGAGGCGTTTCTGTTTCTGTTGATAAAGTTGTGAGAGTCCCCGGGGACTCAGCCACATTAACATCAAAGGTACAGCCAGGGGGTACAGACCTGGAAAACAGAAAAGGCGGACATTTTACTGTCTCCCAGCTACCGCCTCTGCCTGGCAGGGGCCCCATTTTCTGTAGACTGTTGCCTAGACGAAGACCTCCGTTAGGGATGATTCAAGAGGTTTGCCTGCTAGGATCCGTGAGTGCAGGTCCGAGGACGACTCTTCCCTCCTGCATTTGGGATGAAAGGAGTGGTTTTCTGTGTCTGTGAAATAGGAAGGGACGAAGCCGTTTGCCTGCTAGGATCCGTGAGTGCAGGTCCGAGGACGACTCTTCCCTCCTTCATTTGGGATGAAAGGAGTGGTTTTCTGTGTCTGTGAAATAGGAAGGGACGGAAGCAGGCGGTGCGGTGGAGCCTTTGTGTGGAGCTGGGGTCTAACTCAGGTCTGGATGTTGTAGATAACCCGGGAGGTGGCTCTGAGCAGCAGCTCCTGCCTGCACACCTCAGCGGTGGTGGTTTCTGTCCCAGAGAGATTAGAGAGTGCCACCCGTTGCTAGTGCAGCATGGTGCAGTGGTTGGAGATTGCACAATGCTGCAGGTCGCGTGAAACCAGAGAGGGTTCCAGAAAAGGGGCAGTTATTTAAGAAAATTTTGCATTTAGAAAGGAAGGGGGGACTTAAGCGTATTTTAGCAGCGAGGGTTCAACGTAGCTTGCATGCAGTCCATTCTCACACGCACAACGCATATCTCTCTCCCCGGCTATACCATGCATGTGGAGAGATGCCGAGGTCAGGAGCTATACCGAGATGGAGGCACTGGGGTGTGCATGCTTAGGCTGTCACCCTAAGCTGTTGACACCCAGAATGTTCTGGAGTCAAGGGGACGCTGATGCCATCATTCATGTGCTATAGAGGAGGAAGCTGAGGTCATCCGAAAGCCTGGTGTTTGACTTCAAGAGGCAGGAGCCACAGAAGGGAAGCAGCATTCCTTTGGGTAAGGCAGAAATTTGTAGAATGGATGAAAACTGTGAGCAAAGCATTTCCAGATCCGTGTTTTACCCACGCACCGTCTAACCTGTACTTACAGTGGCTTTTAGCAAGCAGTAATCTGGTTCACAACACAGAAAGTGACCTTGGCACAGGGGCAGGCGATAGGCTGGAACCCACAGGGTGGGGAGATGTAATGTTTTTGCCACACTGTGGCTGGAGAGTGAGCTAAGTGAGCAGTGGGTTTCCTGGCAATGTTTGCAGGACTAGAGGGGAGTACTCTTTCATTTTAAAGCTGCTAGTTACGGCCTAACTTGGCCAGCTAATTCTGTGGCTCACTGACCTGGGCGTCTGTGCTCTATGGCCATCCAAAGCAATTGGAATCCGGCTGCTTGTGATTCTTCAGGGCTCCCAGTGAGCCTGCGGTCTGGTCATGTGTGGTTGGCAGCTGGGCCTGATGCTCCCAAGCAACTCCAGGAGGCCTGAAGGACCACAGACAGGAAAGCAGTGGCCTTCCAAGAGGAAGACCCCCATGCCCACACTGGGAGCCGAGGGTCCCAAACCACCAAAGTGGAGACAGACGCAGGAAATGAATGTACTGCCGGTATTTTTGCAGAAGAAAAAGGGAAGAGGAACAGATTAGCAGATTTAGCCCAGGGAGTCTCAGGTATGGTCGAGGCACCTATGGCCATCCAAAGCAATTGGAATCCGGCTGCTTGTGATTCTTCAGGGCTCCCAGTGAGCCTGCGGTCTGGT